CTCCCACAATCCTCCTGCTCTTGAGGCCGATTGGCTGGGTCACGTGGGCGGAGCCAAAAAAGTCCCCCAATGAGCAGCTCCGTGGTCTGAAAGGGCAGGGAAACAGCCCAATGAGCATCACCGCAGAGGAGCCAATCAGCTAGATGTTGCTGGGGCCGAGGAGCCAATCAGCTAGATGTTGCTGGGGCCGCTGTGAGCCAATCATCAGCCGGCAGCTGGAAGTTTGCTGGGGCCCCTTCGGCTGTGGCTCTCAACACAGTAGGTTTTCATCCCATTGATACCAATAGTAAAAATGCAACTCTGCTAATTATTCACCAAGAACAGTTACTGACACTGGGTAAGATGAAGCTCAAAAGATTTCTACATCTTTGTAAAACTGGCAGATGGAATAGAATAATTCTATTTAGAATTTAGAACACAAATATCAATGAAGTGGCCTTTTAAGTTACAATAGCCACTAAAATCAAGCAATAAAGTAAACCTACCTTAGGACCAACAAGAACTTGAGGTGTTCTCATACAGTGTTTAAACTAGGAGTTTCAAAAACAGAGAATATTTATAATCATGTGGCTTTAACGAAAGAAAAAACCTTTAGAAAGAAAAAGCAGGTTTAAATACAAAAATACCACCAACAGTATTGTAAAACATTTTAAACTCATTTAAAAAATGTTCTATTTCTTCTGTGAATTAGTAAGAGCATATATTCCAATTTAAGCATGAATTTTAAACACACATGTGGCCAGTATACACACACACACACACACACACACACACACACACATGCATGTTGGGGCGAGTGCTCCATGGATTTCAAAGGCAGGTGACTGTGCACAGGGTTGGGTCTCAGGCCATTGTTTGAGTTCTTAGAACAAACTTCTCTAACCCCAACAAAGAACTGTATTGTTTTCTATTTTTTATAATGCTTTTAAACTTAATTTTCTCCAGCAGTACCAGAACCTTTCATTGAATCACCATGGTCAGAATGATTTTTAAAAGATATCTTTAATGTACTCTAAATACTTAAAAGTAATTGAGTTCATTTCTATTTTTAAAACTGTTTTCCATTAACTTGCTATTTATACCAGTGTAGCCATTTTAATTGCGCTTTTAAAGAATGGGATGTTTGGTTCAGCAAGTTCCTTCTATTTTTTTCTTCTTTCAAGGAAGAGTTTCCTATTTTCATGTTTATACTTCTAGTAAATTTTTAAATTATATTTAAAAGTAGTCTTTGGTTTGGTTTTGTACTGAATTTATACAGTAACTCAAGGGGAACTGACATGCTAATAGGGTCAAAAGGTTATTATCAAGTTCTCATGAGCTTCTGGGCTCCTCTCTGAACTCATTCCCTCTACCGCCCCTTCCCCTAAGGAAATCATGATTCTGAATGATGTTAGTCATTTTCTTAGTAAATTTACTATTTGTGAATGAGTCCCTTAGTGATAATTCTGTTTTCTGATTTTGAACATTTGTATAAAGGTGCCCATGCTGGTTCTCCTTGGGCTTGCTTCCCTTACAGCTGTCTGATGCCCATCCTGCTCCACAGAGCTCCACTGCACAGAGACCTCTTTACCCACTGTATGGCAGGTGGGCACTGGATTCTTCCTTCCCTTCCTTCTTTTGTGGTGCTGGGGATGGAGCACAGGGCCCTGTGCATACCAGGCAAGCGCTTTACCACATATCTCTGGCCCCTGTGTAGCTCAGTTAACACTGATAGAGTTGCTCCTGCACATCTCCGGCACACATGTGCATGAGTTCTGAAGTGCAGAGGGGCTATCAGATGAACTGTGCAATTTCACCAGGCCACACTGTTCCTAAGTGGTGATCCAACTGTCACACCAATAGTAACAGAAGGTAGTCACTGTTGCCAAAATGTCTCTGAATGTTGGTATTTTCTGACGTTTTATAGTTTCTGTTAATTGGATGGCTAGAAAAATTTATGGTTTTAATGTGTTTCCTGAAGACTAAATAAGGCCAAACAGCTTTTCATGTTTATAAGCCACTTCTTCTTCTTCCTTGAAATTCCTGCCTGTTTGGTTCCATTTCTCCAGGGTGTTTTCAGTATGAATTTGCATCCAGGTGTTCTTTACCAGGGATGTATGTAAGTTTTCACTCTATGGCCTGTTTGGAAACAAAACTATTCACTATCAATGAAGCCAAATTTTTTCTGTTGACTGAGGCTTGTACTATCTTGTGCAGGAGATCCTTCCCCAACCCTAAGTCATTGTTTCAATCACTGCATTTACACTAAGTTTTACATTCCTACAGTGCTAGTTTATATTCCCCTCACACATCATTCTTTCTTAGAAACGTCTTGAGCATCCTTGGCCCTTTGGTCTTTCATTAAAATTTAAAATTGGTTTGTCAAGTTTTACAATGAAGACCACTGGGATTTCTTATTGAACTCCACAGAATCTATTGGCCAATTTGGAGAAAGAATTGGGATCTTGGTTAAGGTTAAATCAAGTCTTCTCATCCACCACTTTTTATCCATTTATGAAGATCCATAAAATTTTGCATTTGTTTAAATTGTCCCCTCATTAACACCATATACTTAAGATTTATGCTTAGGTACGAAATATTTTTTTGTTCCTCGTATGAATTGTACATAATTATGTCTTAAAAATTTTAAAACCATCCCTGTTTGTACCTGGTACCCGAAAATGAAACTGACACTTGCCTATTGATTTTGTCCCAGAAACCCTGATAAGCTTCAACGGGGGGGAAAAAAATCTACTTGCTTAGAAGCATTCACGTTTTCAATAAAAAAAGTTGTATTTACTTAGCACTCAGACTGTATTTTTTATAAAAAATTATATCTACTTAGAAGCAGTCAAGATTTTTAATTAAAAATAACTATAATCCTGATAAACTATTAACTATTCTATTTGCCTCATAGATTTCTTTTCTTTTGGTTTTTCTCTGGTTACTGGGGAAAGAACAGGAGCACTTTACCATTCAGCTATATCCCCAGTCCTTTTTCTTTCTAATTTTGAGACAGAGTCTTGCTAAATTGCTGAGGCTACCCTTGAATCACAATCCCTCCAACCTCAGACTTCCTGAGTTGCTGGGATTACAGGTTTGCAACATCATGCCTGGCCGCCTTGTGCATTCTTTAGATTTTCATAAACAATCTGATCTCATAACTACTACTACTACTTTTTTTTTTTTTTTGGTGATACTGGAAACAGAACTCAGGGGTGCTTTACCACTAAGCTACACCTCCAATCCTTTTTGAGACAAGATCTAAATTGCTGAGGCTGGACTTGAACTTTGCGATCCTCCTGTCTCAGCCCTGAGTTGCTAGGACTACAGGCATGTGCCGTATCCATGCCTGGCTTGATCATACAACTCTAATCTAGTAAATATCAACCACATTGATTTTCTAATATTAATCAAACTTGCATCCCTGAGATAAACCCAATTTGGTGACCAATTGTTGTACACTGTTAGATGTGGTTTACAAACAGTGCTTCCAATTAAAGGGTGCAATGTGTTTTACACAAACACCCCCCCCCCCCATAGGTCAAGTTATTAGCTGTGCTATTTGGTTTTCTGTGTCCTTACGTAATCTTAGTCACTGGGTCTTCTGCACCATCTGTTAGCTGCTGAGGGCAATGTACTGACATACCCACTGTGTTGGTAGCTTCGTCCACTTCCTGTAGTTGCATTCATTTTGAGGTATTTTATTAAAACATTTCAGTAACTAAGAAGTTTTAAATTGCTATACTCTCTAGGATATCACTAGCAATTTGGGGAGGTGAGGACTTAATATGGGGAAACGAAGATTCAAAATAATAACCCACCAGGAACACACAGAAGGGAGTGTTTAAATAGTTCCCTACTGGCTACAAGGAAATCAAAGGTAGCTGTCAGGCGATTCCAATGCAAAGAAAGAAAAAGTCAATGAAACCTGCTGTACCTGGTAACCAAAACATAAGATACTATCACAACAGGGCTTACATTAAAAAAAAAAAGGAGTGGTGGTGGTGGTGGTTTGGTGATGGTGAGAACTGGCATTCTTAGAACACTGTAGGAAAGGATACTTCTAAAGAAACAGCAAGAAAAACTACAATTGTGAAGTAAGGCTAAAAAACCTTCTACTGATTTCACAGCAGGAAAACAAAGCATTATACAGAAAGCATGGTAGAATCCATGCAAAAATTCCCAAGCCAGAGAGCCCTAAGGTCTACAAAAGAAACTTTTTTTTTTTAAAACTTGCTAGATATATACCTCTGCATGTACTCCATATGTCTACAGAATCTCCCCACCCCCACCCCCACCCCCCCAACATATTCACACAGAGTTTCCATCACTGGTGCAGGGAGAGTCAGGACTGACACCCTGTAGGCTGAGTAACTGTGGAAACAATGTGTGCAAAGTATGTGTCAGTCCTGATCTCTATACCAGAATTATTTTTTATAAGCAAAGATCAAATATCTATATTATAATAAAGTTCTAGTGACCCAGGTATCAAGGCTGGGGACCTCTGTACAAGATTTATAACATAACAAGGCCAAGGACATCTATACAAGATTTATTTCATTAACTACAATAGTATAGTATATACCCTAATACAGAAGGAGTGATTCAAAATCCACCAAGGGTTAAAGGTCAAAACCAAAGTCAATGACTTTGTATCAAGGTCAGTTAAGTATTTCACCCACTGTTTGGTTTTTCTTGGACTAATGAATGAGTTCACATGCACAGCACCTGCTCTGGCCTTGCCATGCCTTCTGACAACTAGCACCACCAGGGACAAGCCTTCATTGCCACATCCTTGTCCTGGCTGTCCTGGTAGGTGGCAAAGACCTTTTGCCTGCATTTCATCTCCAAATTACATAGACACATTTCTGTTTCTAGCCACAGCTCCCCCACAACTTCACCTGAATTGCATGGTTGTAATACTGACAAATAGGGCTCTTAAGTGAGTAAACTGCTGTCTTCTAAGTGACTATCCACAGACTTATTGCACAGGTACCCAGTCACAACACTGAAATGACTTATGAGATTCAATACAAAATATTTATTTTTTTCCAAACCACAGAATTCTCAGCCCCAAAGTCATCCTATAAATTTTCCAGATTTGTAATCCATTAACATTTTTCTGAACAATGCAGTCCAATCTGAAAGGAAGATAATTTCCAACTAGCAGGGGTGCAATGTATACTGGAGTCCCATGAGAAAAGATCTATGATTAGCATTTTCTTGACTTCTCCCCCAGCCGCCCCAGCAACACGAGCAGAAACAGCACCTATACTTGTGCCACTCGACTCTGGAGAGATGTTCAAAATAGGGTCTTGGAGAGTGGAGGAGGGAGGTGCCAGGGACTAGTTAATCAATACAGGGGAAGAAGAGGAATCATTTCCCTTGAGAAGAACAGAGCTCCTTTCATATATTATGGTGGCCAGAAACTCAGGCAAATTTTGACAGAGTAATGAAAGTAACAGGAAAGCTATTTCTCCACCAACTCCTATGACTTCCATTTTAGCTTCTGATAAAAATAAACTTCATCTTATACAAACTTATTGAAAACAATAATCACACCCAAAAAGGTCCTCTAAATCTGTTATAGGTTTCAAAGGATTCACATTCTGACCTTGAATTTCAAAGTCCCCTTAAGAGGTCTAGAATTGGATTAAAGTAAACATAATATCCCAAGCTTAAAGTTCAATGACACACACACAAAAATCAACTCAAAACATCCAAACAATGGCTAGATAGCTAAAGAAGGCTTTTTTGTTTTACTTTTTAATTGTAAATTTTTTGTTATCTCAGATTAGTGTATATCCATAAAACAATGCTCAGTTAGTTTAATAATAGCTGCTTATTGAACAATTGAATTTTAGCTCAAGGGCAATGCCTCTTTCTTAATAATCACAGAAATAATTAACTGCTATAAGACGGGGTGGGATGGGGGGAGAAAACACAGGCTGCCTCAATAAGAAGACAAAATATGGAAGGGCTATTTACTGTATACAGGGAGATTCAAGAGGATTATTTAAATACTACGGTACAAATGCTCCTGCTTACTTTATAACTGCAGAAACCAATTGGGTTTGCCAGATCACCATTACCTTTGCCAATAGGTGTACAGACCACTCTGAAGTTACCCTTTTGTGTTGAAAACCTTCAAATTCCTTGTTTGGTCAGTACAGAATATTGCGAGGTGATGCACGTGCAAACTCTTCCTGAGGAATTATTTATGTGTGCAAATTTGCAACCCAACAGAATGCCTGGTATACATACAGCAAGGGGAGTGGGGCTGCTGGGCAAGTCTGAGCACTGGAGACGTGTGCACTGTTCCTGGTCATGGGCATCCATTCCTTTGTAATCCCACCACCCACAAATTAGCTTCCATTCTAATGAAAGGGAGGAAAACTGCTATAATTTTTTAACAGGAACAGGAAAAAATGTGACTTTGCCATGAAAGTTATAAAGCAGGAGTCATACAACAGTTTGGTGCTTCTTTTCACTGATTCTGCCTAGGAACTATTGGGCTAAGAGTCACGACATCAGGTTTTGCTTTCTACCCCCAAAGAAAATGAAGCAGTACTTCCTGTCGGGTTAGGGTGCAGCAGTGACAACAGAATTCAAGAGATAGGACACTGTTACTGAGGCTTAAGGCTAACCTTTAAAATACGTACCATCTCTCTAATTATCACCCATTTACTTTTACATGTTATTAACTCAAGATGACTGACCCAGCTTTTTTGTTAAGGATCTAGTTTCAGGTTGCACATACATACTAGTCAGTTTTGCCAAATCAACTGCATGTGTTGTCTAACCAATCAACCAGCATGTACAATATTCTATCTTCAATGATTTGATACAAAAGCCAGTATTTAGCTGGCATGGAAAAACTATACACTGTGCTGGCAAGAAGAATACAAGGAAACATGAGAAGAACATACTTCCTGGCAAACCGTACACAGTCAATACAAAATGGAAGGGGCCAAGTTGTATTTCTTCATGCTGCAAACTAAAAAAAAAAAAAAATGTCAAGAATTTCAATTAATAAGCAAGGTCACTTTCAACTTAAAGTAATTTTTTTTTGTTTGTTTTTTTTTTTTTTACACTGCAACATACTTCAAGGGGCTAAAGATGTGTTCACCACCAAGACACATGCCTTGGGGAATGTGCACAGCCTTCCTGTATGCCTTCCAATAATGGCTTTGTGGTACCAAACCTTAACCCACAGCTGGCTGCAGCCATTGTGCAAAAATTAGAGAAACTAAATTCTGCAGACATTCCTTCACCTACTTTTTTGTTAACACATACACAACAATAAAAGGAATTAAAGTATTTTCCATTAACTTATAATGCAAAAACATCGTACATAAGATATTAATGCCAATTCCCATCATAATACAGTGCTGTCATAGGGAAAGTTCTGATCTTGGCCAAAAATGAATGCTCTCTCCCAGAAAAAAGCACTTGGTTATATTATCAGGATACTGAAGAATTCACCCATGTATAAAGAAATGCTTCAATTTTATTCCTTTGAGAAATATCATTAAAGCCACTCAGGAGAGACTTCAGTTCCAGGTATATTTATAAGCCTACGGAAAGCACTCGATTGAGAAAAGTAAAATTTGGGCTTCATGATAAAATGGAATTCTTTCTTGACACTAGAATGTTACTGGTGTAGCAAATCAAGCTATACAGGTCATAGTGAAGGCCTGTATGTGTTCTTACAGTAATTCAGTGTTCATTACACAATCTAAGATGCAAACAGAATGAAATGAGTCCAATTAAAGCCCTCCACAAAATCCACCCATTCTGGATGATAAGTACTTAAAAATATATCTGAGAACCTTCGCTTAATTTTACCCCTCTGCAGAATAATTTTTTACAAATCAAGGACTTTCTATTAGATAACATACCATGCGCCCAGTATGGCACTTCTAGCTCTTCCACCCATGACACTCCCCAAAAAAGGACATGCTGAACTGGCAGAGGCAGCTCTATGAAAAATTTGCAGATCAGGTGTGTCTTCTTTCCCTGCCAAGTTTTCTGGATAGATCAGGACCAGTGTGACTAGTCTGATAAGGCCCAGGAAAGTGAAGGCTACGTTTAATCTACATTTAAGAAAAACTGAGTAGAAAAATATTCTCCCCTTGCCACACTTTCTATTTTTATTTGACTTTCAAAGCCAAACAGAATTAGCTTCAGAGACTTTTATGAAGAACTAAACAGCCTTGCAGGTATGGTGAAACAGAGAACACGGCTTTGCTACAGCTGGAAGGGGACCTTAAAAAAGAGCAGAACTTCTTCCCTACTAAGCTCAAATGTCAAATATAATATTTAAAAGATGCAGAGCACAGATTCTACCTTTTTAAAGTACTTATCACCCATTAAAATGAAATGGTTCAGGAACTCCACACCATGGATTATATTTGGTTTTAATAACTATCACTTCCCAGAATGTCGTAGGAAGTAGCTCTTGCTGTTGGACAATCTCCACAATATTAAAAGGGGGCAGGGGCATTAGTACTGCAGGGCTGCCCACCCTTGAATTACGGCTGCCCATGCTAGAGCGGCTGGTGAAACAGGTAAGGTGATGGCAGGAATGCAAATGCTCTACAAGAGTTGGTCCCCACACAAACATGAACACGCCTGGTGCAGCAGGGGAAATCTGACCAATGTGCAACACGTTTCCATTCTCCCACTTAATTAGCATCCTATAAGTCACCCACCATCTTAGTGGGTTGGTTTGGAATACCATCACCTTCTCCAGGAAGTACTTGTGAGTTTGACAACACTGCCACACAGTTGCAAAGTGCACAAAGCTCAAGGCACAGAGTAGAAAGTTGTGAACTGATGAGGGAAAAGTTCTAATGAAAGTAGTTAGCATTCTCCTTGAACAAGACTTCCTAATACTAAACAAAGATCAACTCTTATTTTTAAAGGAGCTGTTTGGGTTATGGGTGAAAATACTGTATTGTAACCATTTGCTTGGTTTTAAAGCAAAAGATATCTTGACATGTGAAACCAATATGCTGTTAAGTCCCAAGTCCACAAATGAACAAAACAAGTGCTTAAAAAAAAAAAAAAAAGATTCTTCTGCCCTTATATTTTTGGAGGAAGCTGCTGATTTTGGCTGTCAGATTTCACTCAGCAATAGTCAATTTCCCCGAAGCTTGTTCCTCATAGAATCTGTAGATAAACTCATTAAAAGATTGTCCCATTTCAAAATCACCCCCAAGTCTAGCAGCAACTGTTTTCGTTTTTGTTTCTTGTTAGTTTTTTGTTTTTTTAAAATTACAAACCAAAGTAAGAAGTCCAGCATTCTCTCCCAAGAACAGCCTTGTGACAGAGCTCCTGAGTGTCGAAGGCCCCGCTGTGCTCAGAACACAGTCTCTGCAGCTCCAGTGTGTCCTCTCCTCGGGAGGAAAGTACATTCAACACATTCACTATCTGTATCCCCTGGAACTTGCACATGAAGATGAGCTGTCTGAAAAAAGGTCAGAACAGAAAAATGCATGAGGAGCAGACAGCATATGACGATGGCAGGAGTCTGTTTATCCAACTTATATGTCTTAATCCTCTCCCCCAAGAGGTCTTAGGAAAAATTCCCCATAAAATCATGGGGTTCTGAGTAAAGTCAAAAGGGGGCCAAGAGCATCAGAAACTGACCCTGGGTCATTGCCCCATCCTTGCAGATATTAAGGAATCCAGTGGCCTCCTGACAGCTGCCTCAATAGCCTGACCCTGGTCACACATGGCACCTTAGCACCCACCATTAAGAACACAAGGGACATGACACACTGTGTGGGTATCCTACTGGCTGCCCTAGCACAAGACCACCCAAAAAGGGAAGGAACTTTGCCACTTACTGTAAGCCAATTCATCCCCAGCTCTCTTCCGGGACTGGTCACCTCTGGGGAAAGGAAAAAGAAGGCAGTCAGCAGACCTGACTGATTTCTTGACACACCACAAGAGAATACACAAATCAGCACAATTCATAGCAAATATTTCAATTCTAACCCAACTACCTGTTATAAATAGACATTAGGGGCTGAAGGCCATAGCTCAGTGGCAGAGAGCTTGCAAAGCGCATATGGACCACTGGGTTCCATCCCCAGCAGCACCACATAATTAATACATAAATGTATTCTGTCCATCTACAACAAAAAATTATTTAAAAACAAAAACTAAACTAAAATATACATTAAACATAAGCTGATTTGTACCCTGAATGTTCTTAACTAAGGGTATAGTCTTTTAAATATGAAGAATCATCTATAAGAATGGTTTACACTGAGTTCTAAAAATAAGTTCATATTAAAATATCTTTGAAGGCAAATCTGGGTTCTGCTATCAACCTCCCTAGTGACGTGCATATACTAGGGCAAATTTCAAATATGAAATTTAAAATTTTAGCTATTCCCCATAAGCCCCACTGAACCAAAAACTCCTAAAGCCTTTGAAAACTCTCAGAACCCATGACTTTAAATCTTTCACAAGCCAGTGGCTTCCAGATTTAATATAAAGCACTGATCTCTGTTATTGTGTGGATATAAGGTATCCCTCAAAAGCTTGTGGGTCAGACAATGTAAAAATATTCCAGAAGTGAAATGATCAATCAGTGAATTAATCCCCTTGATGGGATTAACTGGTAGCTGGAGGCTGGGAGGGTGTGGCTGGATGAGGTGGGTCATTGGGATACATATTTTGTATCTAGAGAGTGGGTATCTCTCTCTCTCTCTCTCTCACTCACTCACTCACTCTCCTCCTTGATCATCATTTGAGCTGCTTCTCTTTGCCACACTCTTCATTTGTAAGCCCAACTGCCTCATCACCAGTATCTATGCACTGTAAATTGACCATGGCAGAAAACAGTGCCATTTCCACTCCATCCCCACCTCTTTCTCAGTTTCCATCTCAATAACACTACCATCCATCCCAGTTTCTCAGGCCAACAGTCGAGGTCATCCCTGATTTCTCTCTTCCCTTTACCCTGGGGTATTTTGCTCCACATACAATCCCAAGTCAAACACTGTCTCCAAGTCCACCGCTATAGCCTCAATCCAAGCCACTATCACCTCTCCTCCCCTCTGCAATTGCATGAGACTTACTAAGTTTAGACAAAAGCCACACTGGTCTTAGGTAAAAGCAAACCTAAGATTAGTTCACACCTTTGATTAAAGTCCTTTATGACTTCCCATTACAGTGAAAAATCAATTCCAATTCATTTTCCCAGCCTGGTGACATGGCTCCTGCCTGATTCTCCAACCTCATTTTTTACCTCTGTTCATTACATTACAGCCACCCTGGCTCTCTGTCCCTTTGGACATGTCAACACTTTTGTCCTTAGGATTTTCTCTATCTGCAACACTGCCCCCCTCAGGCAGTCACACAGCTGTCTCCTTTCTGCCCAGCTCCAACATCTCCCCTTCAGAGGACATTCCATTAGGTCAGTTGGAACAGCCTCTCATACTATCTCATTCCCTGTTTAATTTTCTTCACAGCACCTATTAGTACTTATATTTTATTATTTGCCTATAACATTAGAACAGAAATTCCAGAAAAGCTGGTACTTTTCCTATCTTATACACTCTAGTACCTAGAAGAATTATAGCACACAGAGACACTTAATATTTGTTGAACTAACAAATTAGTGAATGACATGAGCTCACAGATGGGACTATTAAAATGCTAGCCTGAGTATGTCTTACACCATCACTTCAATTACCCAAACAACGAAGCCTAATATTCCTAACACAAAGCCACTGCTACCAATTACTCTGAAAGACCACAGTAATGGAAGATTTCAAAGAATCTAAAAAGTATCCAAAGCCCCCCGCCCACACACACACACCCCTTCTTTCTCTGGTTGTTTTGGACAAGGGCAGACACCTCTTGGTAGGCTGGGTGAGGAGCCTTCATGATTGGCAAAGACCACACCACCTGATACCCAGAAGGTTCTCCTGCTGATCATTCAAGGAAAATCATGACCACCTTGGGCTAGCAGAGTTCTGAGCAGTCTGCCCTCACACCACTTTCTAAATAGTTTTGTTGCTAACCTAACACCTTGCCAAAGTCAGTAGAGTGACTTACACTGTTATTTATACTGGTAGCATTTGAGTACCATTCAACAAATATTCTAAAATAAATAAATTAATGCTAACTAAAAATGAAAACAAGTGATTTTATATATGGAAACTTAACTTCTACATGCAACCTTTATCACTACCCCTCAACAGTTAAATAAAAGCCAAACGTGCACAAACAACAGGAGAAAAATACAGATGTGAAAACAACAGCAGGCGGGAAGAAAGAACGTGAATTAATGTATGCCATCAATGTTATCTACTCCCATGAGTCTTCAAAGCTGTAAGATGCCCTCAAATCCAGATCCCTGCTACTAAACAAAAAGCCCAAATTTGGGGTGACCCTCTCAGCTAAAAGACGAGCAATACCTTTATAAGGTTCTACTTTGTTCCAGAAATGTGGGTAACCATGTCTCAGAATGAACATCTTATTTGCCTTTATAAACTCCCTGGAACACTCTCAGTAGGGGCTCATAGGTTGGTCTGGATGAGAATGCTCCTGCTGGGACCTGCATTTTTTAATATGTTCCCAAATAAGCCTATCTTCATGTGATTTTTGTTTGATAAGAGACACTGAATTTCTGCTTTTCCCCAATCAATTCAATTATTCATGTAAGAGAAAACTATTGCTTTGAGCTTATGTTAGTTCTAGCTTTGAAATAAGTATATCCTATAGTTCTTTTTTTAATATTTATTTTTTAGTTGTAGTTGGACACAATACCTTTATTTATTTTTATGTGGTGCTGAGGATGGAACTCAGGACCTCACATGTGCTAGGTGAGCGCTCTATACTGCTGAGCCACAAACCCAGCTAAACACCCTATATCATATTTCACAACAACTCCTGGTCAAATGAGAATCTGACCACTAACTGCAGAGGAGGATGTTTGACAACATTCTCATATTACTTCATGACATTTCAAAGACTTCCTCTGCACTGGTCACATTAAAGTTATGAGCTGTTTATTCAGGGATCCTAATCACATAAGTGGAACATCATCTTAAATGAAAAAGCAGTTTGTAACACCGAAACCAAAAAATGACTGCTCATGTCAGAATAACCAGTAACAGAATTTTTATTGATAGAAAAACATTTAAATAACATACCATCAGTGGACACTGTTTCTTCCAAAACAATCCTAGCCAAACACTGATCAAAGAAAGAATTAAATTTGACAGGACAGAATGTAGAAGGTGCATGAGCTCAAGAGTGGGGTACAAATACATGTATGAAGACACGAATTGGTGTGAATATACTTTGTATACAACCATGGATATAAATAATTGTGCTCTACATGTGAAATAAGAATTGTAATGCATTCCACTGTCATATATAAATAAAAAAATTAATTAAAAAAAGAGTGGGTACAAAATGTCAATTTTGTACTCTGTGCTAAGCACCTGTCAGAAATTTATGAACCACAGTTTAATCTTTATAGCAAGGCATAATAAAGTATTAATTAATTTATTTTTTGGTACTAGGCATTGAATCCATGGGTGCTTCACCACTGAGCTAAGTCCCCAGCCCTTTTTATCTTTTTATTATTTATTTTCAGACAGAGTCTCACTAAGTTCTCAGGGCCTCACTAATTTACTGAGGCTGAACTTGTGATTCTCCTGCTTCAGTCTCCTGAATTATGGGGATCAGAGCCACCATACCTGCCTATAAAGTGTTAATTTAACTATAAATGGTCCAATTAAGTTTGTAAAATAAAACATTTTAATTTTATCACCTTTTGGAATATTGCCTAATGTTTAAATCTCAACCAGAAGGTGCACCAAAGAATTCCACTAAGAGTAATAAAAATTCTAATTTAACACCAAAATCCAAGGCATTTCCCTGAACATGACCTGCTGACGTTGGCTGAATGGTGTTAAGTTCAAGTACTAAGGAATCAGTTGTCCATCTCATCACAAGCAAATGTGATCTAAGAGCTACTACACACCAAGCATTCCTAACTCTATTCTCTTGTTCCAGATTCAAAATTACAATTGGGAAATGCTTCTGGATATGTTTAAACAGTTCTACATCCTGTTCTGGAAGGTGAACTCAAGATGCTCAGAATTCCAAAACAGCTATATTCCTTTACTGCTTCACAAATATCAGTTTTCAGGAGACTGATCTTTTGGAAGATATTAATAAACTCATCTCTAAATCTAAAAATACTCAAAATATTTATAAATAGATCTTATCTTGGACTAAGCATCAGTTTATTTACTTCAGAAAGAGCTCCTAGAAATCAAGAAGAAAAAAAAATAAGACTAACAAATAGAAAAATAAGCTAAGGATATAAACTGACAAATGCAAACAAATATGCTTAGTTTTACTTATGAGAGAAAAACAAACTAAACCAATTCTGAGTAATTCTTTTTCATCTGCTAGACTGGCAAAAACTCAAAAGTGTTACAACAATACTGTACAAGCAAGGTCTTGGAGAATAAGCACTTTTAAACTTTGATGGTGGTAGATAGGCAAAAAAGTATACATCCCTTATGAAAGGCAACTGGCAAAATTAACCAAATTTATAACTGCATTTACCCTTAACCCAGCTTTCCCACTTCCAAGAATTCACTCTCTAGATATATATGTAACAGGTACAAAATTATACATGTACTAGGTTCTTCACTGTAGCATTGTCCCAAACTTCAAAAGACCAGAAATAATTCAAAGGCCAACTCCTAGGGACTGGTTAAATAAGCTATAGTATATTTAATACATCCACACAATGGAAAGTATAAAGAAATTAATAAAAATAAAGACATATTTTATGTTTTCTTATCTGTGTATTAAAAAAAAAAAAAACTGGAAGGAATTACAAGAAACCACAGAGTAAGAGTTACTAAACTAGGTGAGGTTAGATATGGGGACAAATGGGAGCCAAACTTCCCATTGTATACTTTCTGTATCATTTTTATTTTAAACCACATGAGTAAGATTAATATGTCATTTGACAGTCATGTTGTGTATAAACAAATAAAACCACCCTATTTCTGCCAGAAATACAATTAGTCAAATAATTCCAGATCCTTCAACATCAAAGAGAAACATTCCAGCAGTTCTCTCTGGTTCTTCCTTCCCCTAACTACAAGAAAGTCAGGTCAAGTCACACAGCTTCTCTGAGCCTCTATAGCGCAAGTGCCAGGGAAGAAGGTAGAGAACCAGTGAGTGACTCAGTGTCCCCATTACCACATAAATACAGATGCCATCAGGATAAAAATGGGGAATGTCAATCCATGGAATAACAAAGAAGAGTAACAAAAAAATTACCTGCTTTCTTTCCTAACCTGGGTTGAAACAGATATTGTAATAACAGTGATCCTGGTCAAGGCCAGTTTCTCTGAAATTTAGTTTGACCTTAGAACCTATGAAAGAGAAATGTCCCTCTCCAGCCCTCGAGAGACAAATGAGTCAACTCTCAACCTAATATGTGTGGACACAACTATGACTAAGACATCCACAAGTTTCTTCTTTAGTGCCAGGAATTCAAATATAGGAAGATACAGGAAAGTGCTAAGACTAAGAATTATGAAAATACAAGGTATCACTATGCTCTTAAACAATTTAGTGATATAACTAGGTGTTTTTCCACAGGGAAACCACAAAAATTTACATTTATGTTAGTTGAAAATGTACTTTCCAAGATTTTCTGAGGTATGGCCATGATAAAGCCTTGCAAAAATTTAAGAAAAACAAGCACAGTGTAAATGCCAAAAGCAAGAGAGGTAACTCTTCTGGACATGTATAAGGAGATACTGTACTTTTTAATAATAAACAATCTTACTTTAGAGAAAAAAACAAAAATCTGAATTGTAGGATTTAAAGCTTCTTCTCTAGTTAGTCATAAAAGTATATTATAACCAATCAAATTTCTACAATGTCTTTCCGTATGTCAAAAGCTAATGAATAAATTGGGAAGAGAGCTTGGAAGCTGTCCATCCTAATTGGCTACCCAGTCAGAAATCCCTTCTTCAAAAATGCATGTAGTGAAGAGTTAGTTTCCAAAGGCTCAAAATCCAACCTTGATAACTGTGCCAACAAGGAGCTAACTACTTAATCAGACAGCAGTGCCTTGGCTCCTAGAAAGTAACTTTATCTTTTAAGCCCTTGGCATCCCTCCCCCACCACACCAGAGCAGTCTAAGGACGTATTTTGTCACCAAATTAAAAAAACAACTTGCCTTGTGAAACCATTCTGTATAAGCTCTCTTTGAAGTTTCTGATCTTGAGCAGCATATTCAGAAAGTTCAGATTCCACTGCCGGAGGGAGAATGTTTGGAATAAATTTAGAAAATAGAGTTGGAGCCATCTGAACCCACTCTGTGAGGGAAGAAAAAAAGATTCATTAAGGAAATCACATAGATAAATGAAAAAGTGAAAATTTTCTTTCATTTAAAGAACAAAATATATATTAAACCAAATATGAAACATGGCAGGGTGGGAGGAACAATTCAATCCTGTTCTGGTAAAGAACATACACAGTGGTTAAATCTTTTTCCTAAAAAGAATGCACAGCACTGGGGTTGGGGGTCAGTGGTAGAGCACTTGCCTAGCATGTGTAGGCACTGGGCTTGATTCTCAGCACCACATAAAAAAAGAATAATTAAATAAATAAGTTATTTTAAAAATAAAGAGAATTTACAGTATGAAGAAAGCTGGCATTTTTACATTTTACTGATTTATCAGAATTTAATGAAAATCTCTAGGAAGTTTTTTAATGATCTTGTAAAAATTTCTAAATATGGAGAAAACACAGATGAGAATTCCAAACAATTCTGATTCAAAGGGGACTTGGAGACAAGGGACTGGGAAGATATACCAGCCCTGTTAGCCAAATAACTAATATTAAAATGATATACTGGCTGGAGAATAAAACACTAAAGAGAAAAATAGACATAAAAAAGGGGTGGAGAGAATGAAAATTTGATCAGTGGGCTAGAGATAACTGGTCACTACTTAGGAAAAAAATCGTTTTTGACTCAACATTAAATTGTAACAAACTTACAAACAATTATTGTGTGTGTATGTAAATATAAACAATAAAAGAAGTGGGTATCAAGTTATTAAGAAAAGGTCATGAGAATAATCTATAGGGGGAAAAAAAGGCAAATATAAGCCACAGGAAAATATTTGCACTAGACATAACAAAAATGATTTTAGTACCTTTATAAATATAAAGTATTTGTACAAATTAGTAAGACCAGATAAAGGAGTGAAAGATAGGAATGGTAATTCTTGGAGGTGGGGGCAGGGAGAACAGAATTAGGTAGTCTTGTTAATATTCAGAAAAATTGAAGTTAAAAAGAACCACTCTGTTCCCCATGTTCAGCCAACATTAAATAGAAATAATGCCCACCTGTCTCAAGGGCACCATGAAACCACTACTCCCTTCCCTGGTGGTGGTGCTCAGTGACAACTCTGTTAGCCCTTTCCAACTGTTTTAATCTAGCACTTTCAAAATTTCCCCGTTGTAAAGCACTGTGGCTGTCTGCATCAAAAAACATTAAAATGTCAATGTTCATTAAGCCAGCAAGCTCTCTTTAAAAGTGCAACCTAAGTAAATAATTCTAAATCTGAAAAAGCCACATCTGATGCTATGTGATGCTGGATCAACATAGTTAAAAAAAAAAAAAAAGTGAAAGTAAACAACATCAATATAGTTTTAAAAAAAAGTGAAAGTAAACAACATCCAGCAGAGAACAGTTAAGCTACAGATGGGAACTAAGCAAGCATTGTAAATGATACAAAGGCCAATCCATCAGCCCTTGCACAAACTTAAGGCAAAATGTTCTCAATAGAGTCCCTACTGCCAGCCCGGCTCAAATCTGGCTTTAAAAAGAGCATCACTGTCATGCTCTGAGGAAGTACTAACCAGTCAGAGAGGATGCAAGTCATATCTCTCTGCCACTTATGGAACTTTAGGTAGTGATTTTTTACAATAAAGATGAAGAAACAAACAAAGGTATTAAATGGAAAAAGGCAAGGTGAGACTGCCCAACTATTTCCAGAATGAGCTTCTGAAACGATGGAAACACAGCAACAAGGGTTAAGTCCTCACAACCTTCTACAATAGGTCTGTGGATCTAGTTAGAAACCTTCAGAGGTATTCAGATACAGCAGCATAAAAGACCAGCATCTGAGAGACCTTACAACTGAAGAAATTTTTACCTTTAAAATTCAACTTTTAAAATATTCTAACCTTAATCTGTCAGTTGAATAAAACTGCTTTAATAAACTAGGAATATAACCAGGAACCAAGACCTGTAAATGTCAAAATATGCTTAAAAGGGACTCTGAAAATGCATAGGGCAGCAAAAGGTTGGTCTGTGATAAAATTCACCTTTTGAAAAGGACAATTCTCAAATGCAGAATCCTCCTCATAAGTAGTATAAATCCTATTACAACAGCTCGAATCTGGATAAAATAGCATTTAGATAAACATGTAACTACAATATTTTCTACCCATAGTGATTAGCTTTATTATGCAATTTTGTTACTTCTGACAAAAGCCAGAACTGATAGAGCTGCCTACTTGGGAGGCAGAATTTGTCATACTGCACTTGGAAGCCTTCCAAACATAAAAGAAAAAAATAAATTCATAAACTAGCATACAAAAACATTTCATGAGCCATTTTCACCACACTGAGGCAAAATGAAATTCAAATGTCTGAAAAACTAGAAAACGAAAAATATCAGTTTACTGGATACATGCAATGGAATCTTTCTGCAGCTTTACACCAGTACTTCCTGTTAGAAGTTATAAATAGAGCTCAAGACCTGACCCAAATTTAAATCACAATAAATTTGTATATTCCAGATATCATTAAAGGTTTAAAGTAGCCTGAGAAAGAAGGTATTTTGGAATCAGTCTATTTCTGTGATTCCACGGTTTCCACCTGGTTTCCATTTCATCAAGCTAAATTCTGACATGTTTTAAAAATTAATTAACCAATCAAGTCATCAATTAAATAAAATGACAAGCTCAAATGAATAGTAGCAAAAGCAGTTTTTGCACGCCTATTATGTTATCAGGTACTGTGTTAAGCTCTTTACGTCATGCTTTATTTCATTTAATCCTCAAACAAAATAATTTCACAAAAAGGTAATTACTGTTAAAAAGGCACCCTTTATGCTTACAGATTAGGGAACAATATTCTACCCTGAGAAGTTCTGCAATCTCTCTCCCTTCAGTATTTTTTAATTGGCTAAAAAACTTTATGACAAATTTGACATTCTGATTTACAAACAGGAAGATGCTTACAAAGGCTCCTTGGGATTTCTTTAAATCTACTGTTTTTATTCTAAAATACATTAGGATAATTTACAAATCAAGCTCTGAATGCCATGTACTTTGATTGTATATCTTCTCAAAACGTCCTTATGAATTGACTGGTAACTGCACCAACTCTACATTCCCTGCCAATTAGAACCCAGGCCTAAGAAGATGAGTTGTGAGTGTGTGTGGCAGGGCACATGTGCATCATGGGGTGGGAAGTAAAGGAGGAACTCTTTAAAATTAAGGCCAAACATGAGATTCAATTTTATTCAAAATGTATCCCACAATAATTTCTTGTTTTTCCCCCTTACAGATACTACAAAAACCAAACTAGTTGGTTCTCACCACAAGAGAGTTCTAAGTGAGCTCTGAGTTTTACACTGCACATTGATAAATAGCTACTCAATATTTTTGCTATAGGAAACCCAAATATCATTAGGCATCACAAAGTACATAAAGAACTACTGCCCTCTTGGATAAGGCTGTAATAAAACAAATAAACAGGTCCAATCCCAATGAAAATGACAGGTGTTTACCTGGTCTGAGAGTATACAGGCCTTTCACAATATTTGCCATAGTTGAAGGTGTGACCTGAAATGGTGTTGACTGGGCTTCTAAAAGTAAAGCTGAAATAAGAGAACAGGTTAAAAAACACATAATGCTGATTATCAAGATTTCTATTTTATTTCTCTCAAAGCTGAAGGGTAAACAAGTACAAGAAAACAATAGCACAAGAGAACAAAATCAAGAGTTTATATACTAAGAATTTTTTTAAAAAATCCCTGTAGTAGCTCAGTTGCACAGGTAATATGTGAAGGTCTGCTAGAGCACCAAGGGAAATGAACCAACTCGGGCAAATTATGGAAAGAGGTAAGCCTTCTAAAAGCAACAGCATCATGGCCCTTGGTAAGTGAGCTGAAAGTGCTCCCATTACATCTGGGGAGTAAAATGTAAGTTAAACTTCTTCAATCATTTCTTCTTCCCTTCAAAATATCATATTTAAAGCTCTTTACATGTAAAGGTTAAGCACCCCTTAACAGAAACACTTAGCAATCAGTGTTTCAGATTTCAGAGTTTTGTTTTTTGGGTTTTGTTTTTTTGGATTTTGGAATACTTGTATAGATTTTATTGGTTAAGCATCTCTGTAAAAATCTGAAATGCTCTAAAACTTATCATGCCTAAAAAAGTTTCAGATTTCAGAGAATTTTAGATTTTCCAATTGAGGATCCTCACCCTATAGTAATTTTAATAACTTGATTATAGGCAGAAACTTACTTTCCCGATGCCTAGCTCCATCTACTTTCTTCTTAGAAAAGCTAAGGTTCAAGAGATGATGGATGATTCATTCATCTTTCTCATGTTTATGACTTTGGTTAACAACATAACCCTGACACTAAACATCACAACACAGTCAGTTTTCCCAGGGTCATTTACACTGTTCTATGACAGTTTATTAACATTTTTAAATAAACAGAAATAATTCCTCTAGATAAAACATCACTAACAGATTCAAACAAATTGCATTATTTAGTGGACCGAACAGATATTACTGACCTAAAGTTATTTTTCTAATTTATCTCTCAAACACCTGTAATTTACTAACAACAAATAAACAATAATTTTTAAATCTGCATATTTTACTCAAGCCAGGTTTGTAATCAACCATTTTCCCCTCTACATCTTTCTAAAAGTGGAAACAACATCTTACTTAGGTAACCTTATGAGAACTAAATAAATTAATATCTGTAAAGTATGTGGAGTAGGTCTTAACACACATAAGCAGTATGTGTGTTTGAAATCTTTTTGATGATCACCCACAAAACACCGTTAAACATTTACAGAGTCCCTTGTTCTGGATCCAAACCAGTGTGACTAGTGTTCACATTTTGTATATACCTCACTAAGTATAATCCCTAGTAATTTCTCAATAAATATGATAAATTATGTTTTATTCAATTTACAAAGGCTTAAGGGCCCTTTCAGTTTACTTGGGGGGGAAAAAAAAGGCATGTCTATCATTAAGTGTGATTTTTATTGAAAACCAGAGTATACAAGAAACAAAAGAAGTAATCTGTTTATGTTTTCTCTCTCACCAAATTTGGTATATTTTCTTTTCTTTTTCTTTTAAATATTTTTTATATACCCCATTTGAAACAAATGTATGATATATGATATGTCAAGATCAATGTAATGTTTTGAGCAACTAATAAATTTCTGATGTTTAAAAAAAATATTTTTTATTTGTGTTTATTAGATGGATATAATACCTATATTTATTTATTTATTTATCTTTATGTGGTGCTGAGGATTAAACCCAGGGCCTCACACATGTGCTAGGCAAGCACTCTACTAACCAAGCTATATCCCTAGCCCTGTATTTTCTTTGGATTATCATTTTTTTATATGTTCAATAAAATTGATTTCCAAAGTGCTAGTAAATAGAAAAACATTTATAAAGGAAAGAGGACTTTCTACCAGATGGTAGCATTTCTCCATAGAATTTTAACAGAAAAAAAAATATTGTGCTAAATTTTGGAACAAAAGAAAATGTCAACATAGCTGAAAATATGTAAATGGCTATAATTAATAGCTGGAATTATCTCATGAGGTAATGTTCAAAGATGTTTGTAAACATCTATCCAGTCTTTTGTTTTTAAAGCAAGTCATATGCTCAAGATTCTGGGCCTCCATTCTGGAATCTCTTGGGAATATAATAATAAAACATGTCTTATCATCATCTACACTATTATTTGAAAACCCTGTCTCTAAAAGAAACTGACCCTAAGTTTAGCAATTTCTCAATAAAAAAAAAAAAATGAAAAAACGTTTGTGGTCAAATTTGGAAAAATTCTGGTAAAAGTTCAATGTGGTAGCAACTAATTATGACTAATGTGAAAGCAAAAAATATATACTGCAAATCCAAATATGTGTCAAATTCTTTAAAAATGATTTTATGTGTACTGCATAAAATATGAGCTTTTAAAGGATGCTGAGACATGAGGTGATAGGGGCTTCCTAACTCACTTGGAGAGGGATATTCTTTTAGGGAAGGCAGGATGAGATGCCACCTACTGTGAGCGGGCAGGCAACCTGGGAAGGAGAAAAAGGCAAAACTCATTTGTTTATTTAATCAAGTGCATAGCCAAGTTAAATATTTTACAAGTCTTAATTCACAAACAGAAAATGCAGACCACAAGAGGCTAAGAAGCTTGCCTATCACACAGTCACTAAGTGACAGCCAGACTAAAGAAGGGTTGCTGCACCAAACAGTAAAAACGAAAGGATTCTGCACTAACATTTCAAAGACACAACACAGCACTCCTTCTAGAGTCACTGGTAGGAAAGTCAGGGATGAAACTCCTAAAATCTCTCCCTTGCCACAAGAGAATTTAAAAAGGCACCAAGTATCAGGCAAAACACAAGACATGTTCAATGACCTGGCTAAGCTGTTCCCAGTTCAATGACCAACCCAGAAATAACATCTGCACTCCTCAGCTTCTATCACTATAGAACAGAGCAGGCTTCAACGCTTCCTACTGTCTGGTTCAGAAGATGTCAAGATTGAGTTTTTATAGGAAGGGAGGAAGGGAAAGAAAACATCATTGTTAGTAGTCTCTCACCCTCATAATAAATTTAATTACTTACGCATCAGGCTGTAAATGTGCTTTTCTGCAACATGTTCCGTAAACAGCTTTATAAGGTCATCTTTTAAGTCTCTATTAAGCTTGGTTTCGATGTAAAACTTATTCTGAAAAAGAAATTATTTTTCGTGTATCAACTGGGGGATATAATTAGTCTTGTGAACTGAAGCACTAAATAATATTTTAGGAGACATGCATAAAGTCATCAATTAAAAAAAAAGATCAAATAAGAGCCCACCACTATGAGTTCCATGTCTTTCTGGCATGAGGTTGAAAAGTAAGAAGATCAAGAACTGTTTCCAAAGACCAATGGAAGATCTCAAACATCAACTCAACCGAAATGTAGAGACTTTATGGAATCACCATGTAATATTCCCTTTAAAATCCTACATCATCATCTGAAGACAACACTGGGAAACACTCATTAAAGGCACCTCATTTACTAATGAGATAGGCTAAGAGCAGGCACAGGTGACTCCCTAGCACACATGCCATTTCATCACTAGCCAGTCAGCTTCTGGATTCCATGGAGACCATCTTTGCTTAAGAGGTAGACACACCCAGAGTAGCCTAATCAGACTGTGAAAAAGTAGGCTTGAGTTGAGGGCAAGAGTCGTAGTCAGGACCACAAGAAGAACAAGATAAAATAGATGTGGTGGTCAGCAAAGAGACAAAAAAGAACTACGGATTCAAAATGCCTGGAGACTGCCTCCTTTCTACAGTTCTATTACAGGACACAATGCTTTTCCTTATGTATTTAAAATTCACAGACCGAGGTTGAATCAAGTTTTCTGTTTCTTGCAGCTGAATGACTATAGTGACTGGCAAGTCAAAAAAGATCAAATTTGTTCATGCTTTAATATAAATGACCAAGAGTGGAAAACACAAAGAAAAATGTTAAGAACTTGCTCATTGATTCTAAATTCTTAATGGTTTCTCTTCTTAAAAAAATTATAGGGCTGGGATTGTGGCTCAGCAGTAGAGCACTCGCTTAGCACGGGTGGGACCTGGGTTCGATTCTCAGTACCACATAAAAAATAAAGGCATTGTGTTGTGTCCATCTACAAAAAAAAAAAAAAAAAAAAAAAAAAAGACTTATATTCTCTCTCTCTTTAAAAAAATATAAAAATAAGATGTATATGGTTAAAAAACAAAAGCATGCAAAAATATGCAATAAAAATAAGTCTCCTATTGAAAACCTTCTGTCCTACTCACAAAGGTCCCACTCTGTATTGGGGAAATTATTGTCTATTCTTTCTAAAATGTTCCTCATATAAGTAGATATGTTCTCTTTTTCACCTAAATAGAAAACACTTGCTAATGAGGAAACATTACACACTGCTTTGTACCTTGCTTCTTCACACCAATGTTGTGTACTGCAAAATTTTTCCGGAAAAGAACATACAGACATCATTATCTTTACACATTTCCTACTTTCTTATTAAATAGTCCTCACTGATAATAATCAGGTTCCCCCCCCAATACTGCATAATTCTTACATATGTACAGTATTTTACATATGTTTATGAGTTTATTTATGATAAATTCCTAGAGATATAATTTCTGAGTTCCTCCAAAGAGATTTTACAAATTTATATTTCTAACAAAAGCGTGAGCTTGTTTTCCTAAATATTCACCAGATGCACACTCTAAATATTTAAGATCTTAATGCACAGCATCTTAATGTTCTCTTCCTACTCCTTTTTTTAATATTTATTTTTTAGTTATAAGTGAACACAATGTCTTTATTTTTATTTTTATGTGGTACTGAGGATCGAACCCAGTGCTTCACGCAGTAGGCAAGCACTCTACCTCTGAGCCACAACCCCAGCCCTCTCCCTAATCTTTAGTAAGTAACCAGACTCATTCAACAGAAGTAGTACGAAAACTTCAGAAGTACTAAGAAACTCTTAAGTTATTTTACCTCTTTATTTAAATAACAAGTTATTTGACTTTTTTGTACAATACTGTTAAGTTTCAATATCCTAAACAAAAATACATAATATCTTTATTTGATTCTATGTCTTTCAACAAGAATCTTCACTATTAATAGTGACTTAGACACAATCCATATTCTAATAACTTCATTTCTTAAAATAGTCATATAGAATTCTAAGATAATAGTGTTGACAAGTAACACTATTATGATTATGTTTCCAACAGGTTAACATTTCAAACTATTATTTAAATAATATACTCTTTTCAACAAAGGAGTACCAAAGTTTAAAATTTTTAAAAATAAATTAAACAAATTTTCACAAATAACCAGAAAGCAAATTCAAATTCTTAAGCTAAATGAAAAGGTATAGTTAAAACTTTTTAATTTTACAATATCGTATCCTGTATTAGAATTTTGCTAGGTAGAAGAGTGTGAAGTTCATTTATTCTTTCTTGATACAATCTTCTTATATGCCAAGATCCTACCATAAAGTTTTAAGAAAGCAATAATGGCAGCGTAGACAGACAAGTATACCACTTTCTTGCCTTTTTTTTTTTAAACAAATTAGCTATCAGTTTTGATTCGAAATCCAAGTTATGCTCATTTAGTTCTATTTTTATTTCTAACCCACCTAGCCAATATGCTTACTGGGAAATGCCATGTAAATGGCAGACATGGAGGTAAATAAACCTACTCATCTACCCTTATCTCCCCTTTTTCACAACTAGGCCTGAGGCTCTATCCTTCATGCTCTGATTTCACTCATCATTTCTACTGAAAATTTTAGAACAGCAGAAATAAGGAATTTACTAGAATGGGAATGAAATATCTACTATACCTAACAAATACTCCTGATGAATAACCCTAGAGAATTTCACCAAAATGATACGTGGCTGTCTCCCAGACTTTCTGACCCTTCCCAAGAATTAACCCAGCCAACCCAGGTGACTAATACTATTAACTATGTGTGTCTGTGTTTGTGGAGGAGGTACTAGGGATTGAACCCAGGGTATGATACATGCTAAGCAAGTACGCCCCACTGGGCTATATCCCCACTTCTTTTCTGAAGTCTTTCTTTGAGACAGGGTCTCACTGAAGTGTTGCCAAGCTGGCCTCAAACTTGTGGTCCTCTTGCCTTAGCCCTTTAAATAGTTGGAATTACAGGTATGTAACACTTCAGCCAGCTAATATTTTTGACTAGTATCATGATTCATAAAGAAGTTCTGGCACTTAAACCAAAAGCAAAGCCTCTTTATCACTTTCTCCTAAGATAAAGTCTTTGTAAAACAACAGGCAAATATAAGCTTCTTCTGCATTAACTATAAACCCTTATTAACTTTTACAATTGTTATCAGTACAAAAAGAATAATTTAATTCAAATGAAAATCTTGAAGTACAAGATCTTTTGGAAAATACCTTCTAAATCAGAAATAACTAGAGGTAGCTTTGTTTTCGTTTTAAATAAAGTACATTTTATGAAAAATAAGTCACTTTTAAGACTTATATTCCATACACAGCAATATATATGCTACAGAATGCAGAAACAACCAAATATGTCCCATTCCCTAATCTAACAAAGAAGAGTTGGAATAATGATTTCTAGGGCTCTCCCCATTTAGGAACACTAACATTAAATGATTCTATATTTAAAAGAAGGAAAAAATTAATCAACAAGTACAGTCTACAAATTATACTTCTGGCATAACTCTCCAAGCAAAAGAGAACATCAGATTGGAAGCATTTTATTTTTCCACTTTTTATGGAATGACTTAACTTGGCATTTTTCATACATCATATTTTTAGATACATGTTTTAACTGCTTTCTAAGGACAAGAAATCTTATGTATCTTTTTTTTTTCCCAGGACCAAGCACAGTCCATTCCACATGACCAGAAATACAATGAATACAATCATTGGATGACTGCTAATTACTAATACCTAGGTGACTATTCAAGCAATTGTTACTTAGGGAATTTCAAAACAGACAAAGGGAAAAATAAATAATTCTTCTATGTTAACAACTATTAAACATTACTGAATTAATTTTCATTTACAGTATGAAAATTCCACAAAATAGTTTTTTTTTAAAAAGCTGGAACATGTTTATCTCTGCTTCTTTTGGAAAGGATAAAACAACTCAAACTTACCATATATATGAAAAGAGGCACAATACTCTGCAATGCTCCCATATATTGTCCAAGAGCTATATTAAATCTTTCAATATAGAGATCTGGAGGGCTGGCCTGTGAGAAAGAACACAAACGTGATCATTCTAGCAAACCATTTTTAAGATCGATATTCCACACATAGTTATACATATGCTACAGAATGCAGAAACAACCATAATCTGAAATGCAAACAAGCTTCAAAGGAATCCAAAATTCATACTGAGATTCACAAGAAAGAAAAGGAGAGACACTTACTTACACTCTGAAATTTGGTTAAGACTTTGTTTCAAAGTCTGCTATATAAACTGAGCTTTGGCTTAGTTATCTTTAAAAATCATATAACCCTAACACATTAATTAAAACGCCTGCTCTCATAAAAAGGTGCAATCAAAATGAAGTATGATTTGAAAAATTAACATTGAATTATTTAGACATTTTTTATATGAACCACTGGATGGTTGGATGAGATTCAAGAAAGTAGTAGAGGCTCAATACGTTATTAGAAATAAATAGACAGAGTAACATTTAAAGTTCTATGCCAGCTGGGTTCTAAACAGCTTCTGAAGCTAACCAGTTATAAAATTATTAGAGAAAGCAGGAACTATATATTCCACATATATCTGCAGCTCTGGAAAGTAGTAAAATTATAATGCATGTGTCCTATTTAACTCTCCTTGTTATAAAATATCAAGTCACAAAGCCATCAAGAGAGTACTTCCAACTTAATATATTGTGTTCAGGACTGAATGTGTTTTTCCTTCCAAAATTACATATTGAAGCCCTAGTCCCCCAGTGTAGCTGAATTTGGAATGAGGATATAATTAACGTTACATGAGGTCATAAGGTGGGTCCCTATTCCTATAGAATTAGTGTCCTTACAAGAAGAAACACCAAAGAGTTTGCTATTCCTTACCTTTGTTCCTTCAACATGGCTCAGAGGACTGGCTATGTGGGGGCTTCTGAGGGGACAGCCATCTCTCAGCCAAGAGGGGAATCCTCACAAGGCACTGAATCAACTAGCACTTTACAGTGGATGTCCCAGCCTCCAGAACAGTAAGAAAGAAACTTAGAGCTGGGTATGGTGGCACATGCCTGTGATCCCACTGGCTTGGAAGACTGAGCCAGGAGGATCTTGAGTTCAAAGCCAGCCTCAGCAACTTAGTGAGGCCCTAACCAACTCAGTGAGACACTATCTCTAGATAAAATATAAAAAAGGGCTGGGGATATGACTCAGTGGTTAAGCACCCCTGGGATTCAATCCTCAGTACCAAAAGAAACAAACTTGGACTTGGTGAAATCACCCATCTGTGGCTTTTAAATATAAATCCCTATTTCACTATTTAACAAAGCTATCTGGCATTGGGCAAATCATTTAGCCTTCTGAATTTCAATTTTCATTTTAAATAGAAAAAACACCAACTGTGCTACTTCCAAGATGCGCTTAGAATCAAAGAAAATAATGTGGAAGTGCTTAGGAAAATGTCAAGTACTTACTGTACATGTATATATAACTAGGCAGAGTAAATAAAACTCATTTCCAATTAACTTCACACAGGCCCAATTCTTTAGAAAGATCCATTAACATTTTAAAAAGCATTAAAATGGTTCCATATTATAGGCAAACTTGAAACTACCATTAATAAAACAATCACAATATCATCTTTTAAACCGATTCAAAGAACTCTGGAAATGATATTTTAGCATTCAAAGAAATAAATTTAGAAGTATTATGTGAGAAAAGAAAATCTAAAAGCTATTACATTAAAATAATTTTCCCTTTTCATAAAAGGACATTTTATCCAAAAGTTATAAGGCACATTTAACAGCAGGCAGCACAAATAAAATTGAGTTCCTCAGTTATTTTTTTTCAAGAATTTCCAAAGCCTCAAAGGTTCTGAGTATTAAAAAGTACTTTTTGTATTGAATCAATGTTAGAATACTTACTTTCTTTCCACATTTCATGCAGCACTTATTCAAAACCTTTTAAATGACAAGACTAGAAATTTTAAGTCTTCTAAAGTAAACTCAAACTTTTCCAGAAACCTAGAAATGAATGCCATTTTAAAAAGTCTACCCAAATTGTTTTTCCTTCAAACTTAAGTTCAGCATACCTCAGGCCCCATTAACTGTTACCTAGTTGATTTACATTATTTCAACATAACAATATTTGGCTTGGACATTAAATTATTTTCTCAAATAAAACAAGAAAAAGCAAGCTGCCAGAAAAACTAATAATCATTATCCCAAAGTTGCCCCAACATTTCATAATATGCCTAGATTCTCTGAAATGAATAACATAGCTGAGTAGGAATGCTTTTTTCTTTCACGTGTGTTCATGCCTGAGGGTGGAGGTTACACATTCACTTGGTTTAAAATTAGTTCAAATGGGTTTAGAGTTTTACTTTTTTTCTTAACATTCATAATTGGTTTTATTTTCTTTTCACATGACAGTATATTTTGAAATATGTATTTACATACATAGAGTAAGTATAACTTGTTCCAATTATGATACCATTACTGTCAGACAAGTAGAGTTTTACTTTTAACTCCTTTCTCCCTAAAGCAACTACCACTTAATTCTTTCGTAACCTTCCAGGAGAATTTCATGCCATACAAGAAAATCAGTGCTTCATTTATAGCTCTTGTGGCACAAATACAAGGTGTAACCACACTGATCCACATTTTTCCTAACAATGTATCTTGATGTCAATGTTATTCTAGAATTCACAAACATTTTGTTCTTTGAAATCTTTTGCACTTTTAAAGATAATTCAAGGTCCAAAAAGCTTTTCTTGACATGTGAGTTCTATGGATGACTATGAGAAATTTAGCCAGGTATAGTGGTATGCACCTGTAATCTGAGGTGCTGGGGATGCTGAAGAGGGAAGATCATTTGAACCCAGAAGTGTGAGATCCCATCTCAAAAATAAATAAGACCTTAAAAATATGTATTAATTCTTTCTAACCTTTCAATAATAATGAGATTATTATTATATCTTAACATGTGTTACATCACATCTTAAAATTTTTTAATTTTTTTTTTAGTTGAAATGGACACTTTACCTTTGTTTTACTAATTTATTTATTTTATGTGGTGCTGAGGATCGAGCCCAGTGCCTCACGTGTTCAAGGAAAGCGCTCTACTCCTGAGCCACAAACCCAGCCCCACATCTTAACATTTTTATTAAAAATTATTTACACACAAAAAAAAGGAAATTCAATTAAGGTATCATTACTCTGACATTTTGGCAAGTCTTGTTAGAGCTAGTTTAAGAAGACACCTGGATTTTCATATCTGCTTCAGTATTAGATCAACTCCATGTGTCATCTTGAAGTAAATGAAGAAAATTTAGCCTCATACAGATATGTAGAGGGGAAGAAAAGGCTTATTTTAATAAATAGCCTTTCCAGATAATTATATTTTTCTCTGAAAGTTGGTTAGTGGTAGTTTCTTAAAGGTTAGTTGCCATATGAAATCTAAAACTGTTAGAATTTTTTTATACTTTACTATTTTTTTTAACTTCCCATATTTTTATTAGCTGCACATAATGGTAGGATTCATTATATATTCATAAATGCACACAATATAACAATGTCATTTAGCCAATACCATACCCCAACTTTTACCCTTTCCCCTCCTCCCTGGTCCCTTTCCTCTACTGTACAGATCCCCCTTCAATTTTTCTGAGACCCTCCCCCAACCCAACATTTCTTTTCCTGTTTACTTTCTTGCTTCCATTTAACAGAAAAACAACCCTTGACTTTTGAGTTTGGCTTATTTTACTTAATATAATGTTCTCAAATTCCATCCATTTTCCTGCAAATGACATTAATTTCATTATTCTCTGTGGGTGAATAAAACTTCTTTGTGTATATATACCACATTTTCTTTATCCCTTCATGCATCAGTGGACACCGAGGCTGGTTCCATAGTTTGGCTATTGTGAATTGTGCTGCTATAAATATGGATATGCCTATATCATGATGATTTTAATTATTTAGGATAAATACAGAGGAATGGTATAGCTGGGTCATATGGTAGGTCCAACCCAAGTCTTTTGAGAAACCTCTGTATTGATTTTCATGGTGGCTGTACTAATTTACAATCCCACCAACAGTGTAAAAGTATTCCTTTTTTTCCCACATCCTTCCCATATATATTATTGTTCATATTCTTGATGGTTACCATTCTAACTAGAGTTGAAATTTCAGTATAGTTTTGATTTGCATTTCCCTAACTGTTGAAACCTTTTTTTTTTTCCTTCATGTATTTGTTGGCCATTTGTATTTCTTCTTTTGAAAAATATCTTTTTTAGTTCATTTGCCCATTTATTAACTGGGTTTTTTGGTTTGTGAGTTCTTGTTTTGTTTTTTGTTTGCGGGGAGGTGTTTGGTGTTGAGTTTGAATTCTTTATATATTCTAGATGTTAACCCTCCGTCAGAAGAATAACTGACAAAGAATTTCTCCCATTCTGCAAGTTCTCTCTTCACATTCCTAATTGTTTCATTTGAGGTGCAGAAGCTTTTTAACTTGATGCCAACTATTTATTAACTCTTGGTGTTATTTACTGAGCTTCAGGGGTCCTATTGAGAAAACTGTTGCCTGTGCCTATATATTGATGTGTTTTCTACAAGGAGCTCCAGTTTCTAATTTCTAGGTCTTTGATCCATTTTGAGTTGACTTTTGAGCAGGGTAAGAGAGAAGGATCTAATTTCATTCTTCTACATATGGATAGCTGGTTTTCCCAGCACTTGGTTAAAAAGGCTCTCTCTTCTCCAATGTATGTTTTTGTCACCTTTGTCAAGAATGAGATGATTGTCTGTGTGGGTTTGTCTGTCTTCTATTTTATACCACTGATCTACTGTTCTCTGCTCTTATACTAGTACCATGCAGTTTTTGTTGTTACAGCTCTGTAGTATAATTTGAATTCATATATTGTCATGCCTCCAGCACTGCTTTTTTGGCTTAGAATTGCTTTGGCTTCTCTGGGTCTTTTATTCTTCCAAATGAATTTTAGGACATCCCCAATTCTGTGAAAAATGTCACTGACATTTTGATAGGGATCATACTGTAT